TAACAGATTCCATCATCTGGGTGAAAGATTTAATACCCCATGGGTATGACTCATACTGCCCAGATTCTACCAAATAGAACCTAAAGTGATCTACAAAAGAAACATGATCTTTGTCTAAAGGACAAATAAAAAATTCTAAAAGATAAAGGATGCACAACTTCACCGCATCCTCATCGTTTACCCAAGATCTAGTGGTTACTATCTGTTTCAAATAAGACTTCTCCACTCTTAATTTGTTAGGAAAATAACTGCATTATTTTGCTAACATAAGTGGGAGTATAACCAAAATCAGTAACCTGGGTAACACATCTTAGACCAGTAATTAATGCAAACTCACGCAATCCAAAATTTAACGTTTCACCCTTTAACTGTATAGAAAAATATGATTCATTGGATTTGGTCAATTCATACTTCATCAGAAGATGAATGGTTTGGTTTTGCATGCATATGGTGGGAAGAGACAATAAGTATCCAAAACACGTCTTTTTGAAAAGATTTNCGAAATTTTTAAGTGAAATTCCTTTTCATCAATATTTGTATTAATCTAGCAATTAGTATGTCATACTTTCTTAAAAAAAAAACTCGTAATTAATTAGGATTTCTTTCTTTATTTTAGAGACTAATTTTAATAGAAAAATGTAGTCGTTTTAAGATTTGTCCATTTAAAATAAATGAGATGAGTCTCGCCTAGTAAAATGTATAGATTGCGGANGTGTGGAATCTAAGCACCCCATAACCAACATTATGTGGGGCAAAAAACTGTCCATTCTGCACAAATAATAAATTAATTCACATTAATAAAATGCATAACAAGGATAAATTCATCTATATTTTATCTACAACATAACTACAAATGATTACATAATATCTAAAATTTAAAGTATTTTCTACAAAAAGGCAACAACAAAAGATAACTACAATTCTGCTTCAAATATTACAAGTTACCTAACAGTATAACTACAAAAAAAAATTACAAAATATCTAAAACTATAAAAGTAGAACATCACAACTACAAATAATCTTCAAAATTAAGACAATTAATCTACACTTGTCTAAAACACGTAGAACACAGATTTAACAACATACCTACAAATGATTACACAATATATACAATTTAAAGCATTTTCTACAAAACGGCAGCGACGAAAGATAACTACAATTCTGCTTCAAATAGAACAAGTTACCCNCCCAAGTGGCGACTCTGAATAAATAAATAAATCCCGTTTCGATTGTCCTTTAATTGAAAAAACTTCTTCACCCCTTACGGGAACGGAAAAAGGAGGTGTGACAAATATTAAACAACTGGAGATAAAATNCAAATAATCTTCAAAATTAAGACAATTAATCTACAATTGTCTAAAACACGTAGAACACAGATTTTACCATCCCAAACCAAACAAAAACNTATTTTCAAGTGAACTGCTAAACTGGATAGAAATTAACAAAACAAAAGGTCTGCTACAATAAAAACACAAAAGAAATGANTGTTTTTTTGAATGTTTCTTCATTTTTAGATTTTTCGAACCAGGAGACACCTTTGCTTTCTTTCATGTTCGAAGATTAGGGACCTCTTCTACAAAGTTGTCGTCTACAGAAATCTCTTTTCCTTTTCGTTTGACTTGTTTGACTGGTGTAGAAGTTTCTCCAANCATGACACTACTTCTTCTTTCTCTGGACTCTTGTTTTCTCATTCAATGCAGGTGCACCCTTCCTTCTTGCTAGTCTGCCTGTAACCTCACTTTCACTGATCGACCCATCTTTCTGCTTCTTTGTAGCATAGTCCCATAGGAGCGCTCCATAGCGTCTACAATGTTGGTCAATATCAGAAAGGTCTTTTGTGGGAATTGACAAATCTCTAAGGCTAATATACTCCGCAAATGCAACAATAATNTCATCTCGGCTCTGATTTGTCGGGGAGAGGAACTATGAGTAGTCTCTGCAATTGCATGTGGAGACTTGCCTTATTTTTTGGATGATTTTGAGGATAAAATATCTACATCAAAGGAGGGTATATCAGCTACTGCTGATTTTTTAGGACTCTTTTTCGAAGCTTTGTTGTTCTTCATTGATGAACTTTAACTGGAGCAAAATGGGGAACCAATTTGTTTGAAGGGTTTCTTCAATTTTTTGTGATTTTGGAGGGAGATTGGGTGGTTTCAGAAGATGAAAAATGGTAAAAAGAACGTGGGTATGGGTAAAAAGAACGTGGGTACGGGCTGGGGGTTAGGAGAGAGAAAGTAAGGGATGGGTGGCGATACTGGAATTAAACGGAAATCCTTTAATTAAGGAGTAAAAAATATCTCATTAATTATACCCTTAATTAATTATGGTATAGAAATGGTAATTTGGTACATTAAGTGTAATTAAGTCAAACCTTAAACATTGAGGGTAAAAAGGTTTCCTATGTGGCATAGGAATGCAAAAATTACTATATTGTACTCCCTAAAAAGTAACATTTGACATATGGTGTATTACAATTTTCAATAAAGTTTTGGAGAAAAAATTTTGAAAAATGTTTCTTATAAAACTGATATTTGTAGAACTGATTTAACTTAGCAAGTAGTCATTAAGCTGTCATTTGGTTGGAAAGATGGTATTCCAGGATTAGTTATTCCACCTTTTCATAGGGATAAAAAAAAACACTACAATTCCAGGATAATTAATCTCAGATGCAATTTTCTCCCAACCATGGAAAAAATTCCTTTTAAATTTAGCCCCAGGATTAATTAATCTTTGTCCCTCATACCAAACGAGCCCTAAGTGTTGAAGTAAAGTCAATTATAATCTATTTGGCCAAACTCCAAAAATCAGTTTAGTAAAGTTTTTTTTTTTTTTGTATTTTGGATGTAAAACAATTTATGCTTGACTAATTAATTTTAAAAGCACTTTGCATATGAGTCTCACACTCTCACAAGACAATATCTTTTTTTTTTTAATTTTCAGTCTATTACTCACTCCGTTTCATATTAGATGAGTTACTTTCCTTTTTAGTCTGTTCCAAAACAAATGACACATTTCTAAATTTGGAAATAATTCAACTTTAAATTCTTCATTTTACTCATTTACCCTTAATGATAAGTTTTTATAGCCACACAAATGTCATGACCCACAAACCTTTTACCCCATAAACTTTTAAGACCACAAATATCAAAAATATTTTTTTTTTCTTAAACTTTGTGCCGAGTCAAACAAATTCATCTAATATGAAACGGACAGAGTATTAATTATACTAATTTTGTCAACGCNCATTCAGAACCCTCTTAACTGTTAGTAATATCTGAACGATGTCTTCTTAGAATTAGCATGGCGCAAGGATGACATGCACCAATCGAGAAATTAGAAGTTATTTCCTTGAAGTGATATTGTTGAGTTGAAATGCAAAATATGGGTTGTACCATTTGTTTCAGTTGCGTTTTCCCTGCCGTCTGTGCTCTTTCTCCCTTTGTTTCCAGTATTCCCCTTTTAGGAATCTCTTTGAGTTGACTTTGTGTGATTGGCCATTAATGTTTGATTTCTATATCGTTAAATTTACTAAATCAGCTAACTCTTTGGATCTGATTCTTTCTTTCTGTCTGTTGTTTTCAAGCCTGCTGCATATCGTGGTTTAGTGGATCACCTCAACAGAAATTCAAGCCGTCTAGTGTATGGATTGCATTTACAAACTAGCAAAGAATGGGCAGCAGTCGATTTCCAAAGCGCTATTTAATAGTATTTTTANAAGAGGGGTAGTTTCAAGTACCTTGGGTCAGTTATTCAGGGGATCGGGGAGATCGACGAGGATGTCACACACCGTATAGGGGTGGGGTGGATGAAGTGGAAGTTAGCAACGGGAGTTCTGTGTGACAAGAAAGTGCCACCGTTACTAAAAGGTGAGTTTTATAGAGCAGTAGTTAGACCTGCCATGTTGTACGGTACCGAGTGTTGGCCGGTTAAGAACTTACACATACAGAAGATGCAAGTAGCAGAGATGAGGATGTTGAGGTGGATGTGCGGGCATACAAGGATGGATAAGATTAGGAATGAATATTCGAGAGAGGGTGGGCGTGGCCCCCATAGAGGACAAGATGCGGGAAGCACGACTTAGATGGTTCGGGCACATTCAGAGGAGGAGCACTGATGCACCCTGTGAGGAGGTGTGAGCGATTGGCGGTGGTGGGTACGATAAGAGGTAGAGGGAGACCTAAGAAGTATTGGGGAGAGGTGATCAAGCGGGACATGGTNAAAAAAAAGCCCTCCTCAGAATGCTGCTTTAATTGATCAATTAAAGATCTTGCCGATTGAAGCAACAGCTTTTTGTTGATCTCCAGTGAAGTGTCAGTATCAAGTTTTTCTTATTTGTGGTAATTTACTTAATGATCACTGTTCTGTATATTTTGAAGTAATTTTTCTGTATTTTAAAGCTTGTGGGTATTGTGAATTCTGTTAATTTGATAAATGGGTTTTTTTTTTCCTTTGATTTTTTAAGGTTGTCGGGTAAGATGGGGTTGTGGACTGTGGTTGACCTGTTGAAAAGTTGGTGCCAAAGATTAGATCTTTCTCATTGCTTCACCTTTTTTCCTTAATAATATCTTCTTTTTCTTGTTTATTACTACATTTTTATTAGTTTAAAAGATAAGTTGTGTAGTATAGAAGTGAAATAGCTCAGAGGATTCATATAGCAGAACTGACTGATATTGATAAGACTTGGGAACAAAAAATGTAGACATTAGTTGTTTGGTTCAGAGAATTCATAGAAATTGTTTCTTTTTTTATGCTGGAAATGGGAATGTGGGTTTGGTTCTTGTTAGGCTTCCACATTAGTTGAAGGAATAGGTTGTTGTCTCCTTATATGGTCTTAGACAATTCTCGCTTCATCAGCTAAATTTTGGAGTTGATCCTTCCACACGCCAGTGATGAGATGAGAACTGCCTGCATTTCATGGTTCATGTGCCACCACAATGGCATGGCATTGACCGAAACATTTCTCTGACCAGCTCGTAAGTAGCATTCCGCTGTTGGTCGGGACAGTGGGGTGTCAAAAGGGTCCGGAACTAGGCCCATCCTTGTTTTTGTGTTTCACATTCTTGGGCCCCTATATCCAGTTTTGGGCATGCGAGGGATGTTAGAATGTCTCACATTAGTTGAAGGAATGAGATGTTATATCATTATATGGTCATAGACAATCTTTACCTCATAAGCTAGCACCGGGGACTGATTTAGGCCAAGGTCCATTGTTCTTAACAATTTTTCGCAGGTTGGGTTTAAAAACTAGAGAAAGCGTACGACAGGGTACCTAGGAAGGTCTTATGGAGCTGCTTAGAGGCTAAAGGGGTCCCGGTTGCATACATTAGGGTGATTAAAGACATGTATGATGGAGCTAAGACTCGGGTTAGGACAATAGAAGGCGACTCCGATCATTTTCCAGTTGTTACGGGGTTGCACCAAGGGTCGGCGTTCAGCCCTTTCCTATTTGCCCTGGTGATGGATTCCATAACGCATAATATTCAAGGGGAGGTGCCATGGTGCATGCTATTTGCTGATGACATAGTCCTAATTGACGGGACACGACGCGGCGTCAATGAGAGGCTAGAGGTTTGGAGACAGGCCCTTGAGTCTAAAGGTTTCAGGTTGAGCAGGACGAAGACGGAGTA